ACATTCCCTGTCAATAATGGCCTCAGACTGCTTTCAGCATCTGGAAAGCCTACCTAGAGGAATGAGAGCTTTAAGTAGGATCACAGACAGAGCTACAGCATATGGGATCCCAAAGGTCAAACACACAGAGGCAATTCATCCATCTGTATGTTGCAGAGCCCAGGAATAGTCCAAAAGAGTCATCTTCAAGAAAGTTCTCTGGGCAGAAGGAAGGAGAGCCCAGACTGACAGGCACTGTGGGCTAGCTGACAGGAGACAGGCTAGTACACAGCACATTCAGTCCTGGTATGCTGGGACCATCCACTTCTTAGATGTTTTCTCCTTGACACTGGCAAAATTAAATATAATGTAAATGAAAACCAATAACTTCCCATTCCCCATTGGGCTGCAGCATCAAAAATAAACAGGTGAAAAAAGAACTGCACTTGTGATGCTGTTTCTAGGTGTCTACCACACATTCTATGTCACAAATGGGTCCAAACAATATGGAATAAATAAAATTATAAATGCAGGCAGCTTCATAAACAGCCAGAATCCCATACCTCTCTGTTTACTGAGCTGTAGTTCAGGAAGAAAACAAAAAATCTCTAAAGGCAAGGTTTAATCTGCATGTTTTGCCAAGAAACAACTACACCACATACTCAAAACAGTAATGAAGTAATTATAGTGGGGATCTACAGTAGGGGAGACTGACCTTATGGTTTTACACTCAAACAAGTGTAAAATATGACAAGGTGATTATTTTATAGCTCAAAAAGAGCACTCACCACCAGCCAACAGTCTGAGTCTCTGGTAGAGAAAGAGCTGGCTTGGGGATGTGCTTGAGCCTGTGATTTACAAATCTTCTTGTTAATTTACAGCTTTCATTTGCATAATTGATTACATTTAAGTAACAGGGATTTTTTGTTTGCTCTAAGTTAGCCAGTGTTTGCTCCTGGAGCCGCTTATGCATCCAAGGCAGAACACAAAGTATAATTAATTAATAAATAAATAGCAAGGCAAACACCTATTTTCCAGATTTAGAGGTTGATCTGCACGGGGCAGGGGCATTTTGAGGTTTTAGTATGTGCATCCTGGGATGAAATGTTCCAGATCCCTGACAGAAATCCCAGCAAAGCATTCCCAAGGCTGCAAACTCATTATTCTTCCTCTTGGTCTGCCTTCTACACCACATCAACTCCCACCTCACAGGCTTCCTGCCCAAATGCAGGGAAGTGGGCTGCTGCAGTAAGAAATATAGCTTCTTTATCTGCTAAGATTTGCTTCTGATAAGTCTGTATTTATGCAATGTAAAGGAAAAAAAAAAAACAACAACCAAGAAAACCTGAATGCTCACAGTGTTTCATCAAGAAATTACTGGTTGGTTCCACAAAGCCTGGTCCTCAACCAGCAGCCTCCTGAGCAAAAAACAGGATGCAAAGAAGACACAGCTGTGAGAGGTAGACTGAGTTTTGCAAAATTTAGAGGGATAAGGGATCAGGTGATACATCAAGGAAAACATAGACCAGCTTTAGGCAACCTAAACATAAAATTCTCCATGTTTTCAAATCTATGGTTATTTTACAATACAAGGCCATTGAATGCTAATTGTTTAAAACCCTTCACCTCAATGCCACTAGAAGCAGAATATTTAGCCTTTTAGTTATGGTGGCATTTTGTAGATTGTCTCAGTCTTGCTGTTGTTGATGAAATGGAAAGAGATGCCTAAACTCTGATCTCCAAATAGAAGACCTTTCTAAATGCATCTTCCAACTCTCCTTGTTAGGAATTAATTGAGAATTGCAAGGCAAGGTCAGAAAGCAGCTTTTTTCAGTCTGCATTAAGAAATGTATTCTGGTGACAGCCATGCCAGGAGGCAAATAAATCAAATGGGGGAAAAAAACCCTAACTGAAACCAAAAACTTGCTCTTTTTGCAGTTCTTACAATATTAGGGGGGCATTCTCACAACTCCTGAATGCTCAAAGATGGTAAGACCAACCATTTTAAGAAAAAAGTATGTTTTATCACAGCATCTGTTTCACCAGAAATACAAAGAATCAATTTTAGCAGGTAAAAATTGATTGAAAAATTGCAAATATTAAAAAAAAAAATCAAAGAGCACAACCAGCATTACAAAGATGTATCTAGGATTCATTCAGGGAAGATTAAAGAAAAACTGACTACTGTTTTTGACACATTAGGATCCTAGACCTAAACAAAAGCACCTGTTTATGTAAGCACCAAGCCCTTCTTAATCAATTCATCAAGCACTGAATTTAAAGCACACATTTAGCCTACCTGATGTCTTGTAGTGGTTTCAGAATGATGGTAGGAAGCATAGCCAAAGAATCAATTAGAAATCGCATCATGCAGTCCATAATATTAATCTTAAAGTCAATGCTTTCTCATGCATTTCTACAGAAATCTGCTGTTAAGTAAACGTAATATGCACTTGCTCAAAGATTGCTTGTTATTGGGGAAGAAAACATGTGCACTCAAAATACATAATTTAAAAAACAGCTCCCATAAAGTCATGTTAAAAGAGATCTGTGATACCCTAACAGGCATAAAAAAAAAAAAATCTTTCTCATACACATCTTAAAATATACACAATTAAAAAAGAGAAATCTGCTCTTGTGTTCCTACTGGGAAAGTCCCTGCACTGAAATAAAGGTGATTATTTGCAGACCATGGCTGTTCTCCAATACGGGCAAAGTTAACTGGATTTGCTTTAAGTAAATAACTCAATATATCATCCAAACAGCATGTGTCATTGAAGCACCTAAAAGATCACTTTTCTCTGTAATGTAATTTGGGGGGGGGGTGCTAGTATTTTTTGAATATTTCATTGGACAGCATATCTACACACAGTAGTTTCCCTCGAGAGTTTCCCACTAACAGCTCTGTGTGTCTCTACACACGGCCACGTTCAGCCTCCTGCACTGTCGATATCGCCATGAAAGCTGAGTCTGCAGACTGTAGGCTGCTAGACAAGCCTGATGATAGCAAAACACAGAGGAGATTCCTCAGCAGTACTGAGGAGCCGCTGGATAAATGGCACAAGCTTCTATTAGCGGCCAATTACCACCACCCAAACCCCATTAAGGACAGAGATTGCTATCAACCTCTCACGGATTATCCTCCAACACATCCAGGAAAGTGTCAAAACCCACCAACTTTTCCTCTTGCCTGAAATTACTGCCTTGCAGAAAGCTGGGTGCTATTTCCTCCTACAGTCGGGGAGGAAGGTTGGGGAGCTTCCTAGCTTTTATGGGATCGGGATAGTATAACCCAGAAAACTTGAGACAGCATGTGCTGAGTACAGGACCCACTGCAGCCACCTGCTGCCCCACACCACGAGCAGACCCACACATAACATGGCTCTGCTGGGCTTCATTCCTAGAGACACTCGTGTCCTGGAAAGCAGGTACTCCCTCCTCCTGCACACCCGAGGGACTTCCCTGCAGCCCTCTCCTCACAAGGCTGATCTCCATGAAGAAGCTGTATGTCTCCTAATGGGGCTGAGGCATCCTGGGGACAACCACGGAAGAGGGAAGAGGATTCTAATAGCCCAGAAGTTGCATTTCTCCATCCTACAAAATCCTCTCTCTCTCCCTGTCTCCTCCCCACTTGGACCACAGGATCATTTGAAAGCACCTAGCAAAAGTCCTAAGAAATTGAGCTATGCAGGAGCATACCCTTCTGTCCTCATAAGGCCTTATCAGTCAGATAACTCCAGGACGGGAGGAAGGGAGCACAGTCAGGAAGAGACTAGAAGAGGAAAACTGTTGACAAAAAAAAAACTATCTAAATATCATACAACAAAACCTAATCTCCACAATGAATCCTTTCCCAAATGTATCAGCAGCCCACTTCTGTCGCTATCACCACAAGGCTGTGAGCCTAAAACAAAAGCATCTTATCAGAGCAGGAATTAGCTGTGGTCACAGCAACAATGATCTTGTCCTCGTTTCTCTAACAAGCTCCCACTGGAGTTGAAACGAGGCAACCTAAGGGAGGGAGTCTCACTCGATATGCTTTTTTTAATTTTTACTTTTAAATCGAGGTTTAAAGCCATTTCACTCATTCAAGTTCAGGGTGCTATTATCATTCATTTCCTTGGATGTAGGACCAGGCTGTTATTGCATAACTGCCAGGAAAAGGAAAAAAGACAAGCAGCAGTAAACGCTCACAGCCCGCTTTCCTTTCGCACTTCTCCAAGCAAGTCTGCCAGGAGCTGTATTGACCAGGGCGCTCTATCCGCCTCTCCCCGTTTTCACCCCAGGTCTTATGGTACCCTAAAATATTTAGGGGTCGAATTATTATTTGAATGGGAGAGATTTCTAGCAGAGGTGGACACTCTAGGAGCCGGGAGGGGACCTGCCACTCTGGCTATGTGTGCTTTCCTAGGACCTCAGGAGTGAAAACAACCTCCAATGGCACTTGAAGTTTCCCAACTTATATTCATTAGTGGAAAGGATTCACTGCTTATCATGGGGTCATGCTAGTTCTCTAGGAGAATAACAGGGATATTAAGAAATCCACCAGCATCAAAAATTGAGTGTCAAAACCCCAATGAAATCTTCTATTTAAATTGTGTGCGGGCTTCTCCATGGAGATGAGGTTTTTCCTTTTTCCCGCAGGTGCTCCGATCCGTTCCACTCGCGCTCAGGGAGCCCCAGGCGGCAGCCCCAGCCCCGCAGGATGGGAGCTCCTCCATGGCAGGATGTTTACATAGTAAGTCAAAAGGCACCGAGTTACCATGTGGGAAACTCCGCTCTCTCCCTCCAGTCCAAGATAACCACCCTGCTGGGTCAATGCCGAGCAGCACTTGCAATGGCTCTTGGCGCCGCTATCCCCCAAGCCCCTCGGGAAGCGGGGATGAAGGCGGGCACAGCGGGGCACCGTCCCTTCCCTGAGGTGAGCGGCGGGCAGAGCCGCCCCACGCCGGCGGCACGACACCGCCCTGAGCCCAGCCTGAAGGGCACCGCAGCGCTCCGGCCCTGCGCGGGGGGCTTACCTTCCGCACCCCGCCGAAGCCGTGCTCCGCCGCCACCCGCTCGGCCTCCGCCTGGCCCCCGTCGTGCAGCTCCACCAAGAAATGGTTGGTGTAGACGGCTTCGCGGGCCGGGGCGCCGAGGAAGTGCAGGAGGAGGAGGAGGAGGGAGCCCCGAAGCAGCGGCGGCCCCGGCGGCATGGCCCCGCGCTGCGCGCCCGCGGAGGCAGCCCGCCGGGCGGGCGGGCCAGAGGGGAAGCGCCCAAAAGATGGGAGGGGAGGAGGGCGGAAAAAAAAAAAAAAATTAAAAAAAATTAAAACAAACGAGCCCGGCAGAGGCGAGAGGAGAGCAGCGCGCAGAGCACCGGCCGGGCGGTGCGGATGCGTGCTCCGCGGCGGCCGAGGGGCAGCACCAGCCCAGGGGAAGGGGGGGGACGCGCCGCGCTGCCAATCATGGGGGGGAGGATCGCCCCGGCCCGCGGCTCCCGGAACGCTCCGCACGCCTCCCCAACACCCCACCCACGCCTCGCTCCCACCTTCCACAGTCCTGCCCCTACAAAGCCGCACCCCCCGAGTGCAGCGCGCAGCTGCCCCCTCCTACCTCCAGCCCGGCCGTGCCGAGCCCCTCCGGCTGCGCTTCCCCGGGGGCTGAGGGGGAAGGTCGCTGAGGGGGGCAGGCACCCCGGAGCTGGAGCCCATACGCGGGTGGCTGTAGAGACAAGGAGAACGAAAGACTTTGGCAAGAAGCTCACCGCCGGGGCCGGCACCCGGCTTCTCTCTTCGACCCAGCGAGCACAAAATACCTGGAGTTCCCCCCAGACCTCCCGTTCTAGCCAGAACCCTGCGCCAGCTGCTCACAGGGCCATCAGCCACCTGTCCTTTATTCCTCTTTATACAAAAGCAGAGGGACAGGGAGGTGGTCAAGCAGTGATAGGGCAAAGCCAGAGGAAATCCTCAGCTTCAGGGCTCCTCACCCTGCCCTGACTCCCAGTCTGTAGTGGCAGGATGCTCAGGAACACACAGGTGCCCGGGCTCCCTCAGCCATCCCCAGGCATGACTGGCAGGAAAGTACCTGGGCCTTCCCTGCCCTGAGACAGCCAAGGATTGAGAGTGTTCCATGCACTGGTGGGATTGCAGAGGTAGCAGCGCCTAAAAAGAATGGGAGCTCGGTTCTGTAATCTGCCATCTGCAAAACTATGATTGGAAAGGAGCAGTACAGATTATGCAAGTTTATGGCAAAGTATAGTTCAGCTTTCTCCCACGGATACATCTGTTAATTTGTCATACCAAAGGTTAATCCTTTGATGGATCCCTAAATGATCCCCTGGGAAAGACTTGGGACACAGAAAGCACAATCATCTTTAAAACAAACAAAATTATAGATTTACTGTAAACTGCCCAGCAAATGGTCAAATGAAGTACAGATGTTAAATAAATCAGGGAAAACAAAGGAAAACATCAAAAATCACAAACAAGGCTCTTCTTCCATTATCCTAAAATGCTTTAGAAAACAGCAGAGGAGCTGACCACATAATTGTGAATCCAAATGAGCATTGGTTTATCATGACAAATTATTGATTTCCTTCCTCTGGATAAAAGAAATCCCTATTCAATCAGAAAGGAAATGGCAACTTGAAGCCTAATCCAAAGCCTGGTTACATCAACAGAAGTGTTGTAAATGAATGACTGATGTTGAAAAAACATCAAACATGAGGGAAAGGTAAAACATGAGAAATGGCACAGTAGAGAAAGAAAACAGCTTTGAAGTCTCATTAAGAGATAAGTATTAATGTTGGTAGAATTCAGCTTTTAGATGCTTGTTCTAAGAAGAGATAGTTATTAAAAACAGCTCTATATATTATTTCTTTAAACCAAGTTGTTTGTTTTCACCAATAGTCAGCAACACCTCTCCGTACAATATCTTTCCATTATTAAAGCATTTCCAGGTAACTTGGGGCCTGTGAGCTCCTGGGTCAGAAACACCCACTGGTGACTGCTTGGCATGGAGGTCCTACTGGTTCCCATCCACAGCTGTTCCTTGGTATCAGAAACAAAAGGAAAATAAAAGTAAGGGAAAGGCATTTTAGGTATGTAGGTTTTTCTTTCCCCAGAGCTCTTCCCTCAGTTGACACACCTCTTTTTATTCTATTCATAGAAAGGGGAACATCAATAACAAAGAGAGTGGAGCAGCCCTCCTGGCTCCCTCTAAACAGCAAGGCAAGATCCTGCACACATTCAGAACTGAGGACCATAACACAGGTCTGGGTGAGGGATGTGACTAAATAATTTGGTGTGCATGCTCTGACAGCCCCAGCTGCCACCTGTCAGTGCTGCTCTGCAAGCTGGTGCCATTGAAGGGACATTGCCAGCAAGGGAGCAGCCACTGTCCGTAGCTCGTAATCCTTGCAATGACAAGCTTTGATGGCTTTGTCTATGTGATGTTAAAAAAATAATAAAAATTTTAAAATGGATTAGTTTAGGAAAGACTGGTTTAAGAAGTACAGTCTAAACACCAAGAAAAGAAAACATCAAAAGCAGCAATTTAAAGAAAAATAGTCATTGTGTTGATGACTACAGAAGTTTAAGACTAGACAGTACCACTGGGATTTCTAACCTAGTACTTTATGTTAAGTGTAGGGCTTATTGGCATTAATTCTTGCATCTGGTCTGTAGTCCTTTTTTTTTCCTTAGCATACAAACGTTGAATTAACAGTCAAGACTGATCTATTACAGCCACTACTGGGGAAATGTTTCAATGACTGCTTACAGTCATTTGTAAAAAGTTATATCTCTGCCTCCCTTTAAAATGCTGATCAGTCCTACATTGACTTCTAGGTTTTGTTCTTATTATGAATTTTTTCATGGAACTGCTGTACTATTATTTTCTCCAGATGAGTTTTAAGATTGTGATGATAAAGACATACAGTTAGCACTCCCTTGAATGTCTTCCTGTAAGGCATATTTCCCATCCCTTCAACCATTCCCATAAATATTTTTATTCCTTGAATTGTGAACTGTAGCTGCATCAGATGTTTTTAAAGCAGAGGTCAGGCCAGTCTTAAATGGATGTTACATCACAATTCAGATATTTTTTCAGCAGAGGTCAGGCCAGTGTTAAACTGATGTTACATCACAACTCTAGTCTTACTGGGTACCCAGTCTTTCACCAGCTGAGGATTTCATTCAGCCTCAGTGCTGCTGAGCCTCCCTGATGTGCAGGAATGCTAATGCTGACTCGCAGATCTCTCATCCTCCCTGAGCCCTCTTCAGGCCTGCTGCTCTTTCGGACAGGTATCCTGCATGGCCAACAGTGTTTGTACCTAGATATTGATTACTCTGCTTGGTCAAAATACACATAATTTACCTGCATGGAGCTTTCCCAGCAATACAGATCACTCAGCACTAATCTCTTTCATGCTTTATGGCTTTCTTCTTTAACCTACTCACTTTATTAGTAAGGGGTTTATATTGATGTACTGGATTAGCAAGATTTTGCAGCGATAATTTCTTGGCCTCAGTCCTTTGGAAACTCTGCAGAATCAAATCAACTCCAGCAATGATTCCCAGTTTGTAATTATATTTAAGGACCTAGCATTTAATCAGTTTTTAGTCTATGTCATAAAGGCCATTTTGATTTTTGTGTCCTATTTATTTACTGACATGTCACACAATATTAAGGGTCTCCCAGACACAAGCGATGTCATAGATACAATGGATCAAAAAAACTATAATTTTTTTCAATTTCATCAGGTAGTTCAATAAAAGAGACTTAAGGTTCCCCCATAAATTATGGCTTGTCTAACAGAAGGCAAATAAACAACAATTCTAGCTTTTCCAGTGAAAACTACAACAGTGCTCTAAAAAATGAAATTAGGTTAAAAATTCCAGTTCCCAAATGGATTGCTGACTACATTTTTAAACAACCATTAAATTTCTACAATTATTTTACAACACTTAAATGGCTTTCACTATGAGGTCAATGAAGTACTAACTTTAAAGGAGGTGTTTCTTTTCCTGGGGGCTGCACAGGATGGTGCCATGCCAAGAGACCAGTATGTCAGAGGAAGTTGCAAGAACTCATTTCTTTGCTGTGGAAACAAACAGAATCCTAAGTCCAAGATTTACATTGCTTTCATCTTTAATCATTCATCCTAGCAGATGCATGAGCAGTAGTGCTCTGAAGAGCTGGAAACAGAATATTGCAATAATTGAATTTTGTGTTATGAGAGAACAAAACACATAAGCATCCTCTGGCACAACTCCGAGTCTCCCTTAAACCTTTCTGAAGCTGTGAAGTGAGCATATATGCTTTCAGTGGACTCTGGAGCAGGCTCAAAGGTAATACCTACATTTAGAGGAACAGAAATGGGATTAAAAAGGCTTGAGAAGAGATTTCCAAAGAAAGGAATTGGATGCATAGTTTAAAAGGCCACAGTTGAAAGCGAGACTGTTTCATCTGACAATTTTATTTAGGACAGGGAATAATCAGACCTATATGAGTAAAAGCAAGAACTAGAGAATATAGAAGAATATAAAATTTATATTGTCTGTGTACCAGGAACACAAGACAACATGCATAACTGAATGTACAGAATGAAGAGAATGGAGTGAAAGGCTATGAGGAAATGCCATAGGAGCTGAAAAATTCCCTGCTTAGTTGGCCACTACAGCTACAGGGTCAAAGTCTCTTAAGGATTCTAGAAGCTCTCTAACAGTATATCTGTCTGTTAGCATTGCTGTGGATCATCTTATGACAGTGTATAAATCAAGTTTTAATTGGTTTGTTTTAATAATGAAGCATAGGTATGAGCAAAGCAAAGCAGAAACCACAGTAAATGAGTTCAGACAGCACAGCTACGATCCACTTTGGGCTGATTTGGTAATCAGCCATGACTGTCTTAAAGAGGATTTTCATCAAACACATCTTGGCCATTTTAGTACAATGATGGAAAGATGGATGTATGAGTTACTGCAGCAAAGCCAAGCATGATGAAGCCAAGCAACAGTAGCGTTTCTGTGTGGAGGCTCCAGACCAAAGAGCTTGGGATACATTTATCTTAGATGACTTCAAGATCATTTTCCCTATTTAAAAATACTTCCCTGACCATTTTCATTGTTTTATCCTATCGAAATACTTTATTACTGTTACAAATATATTAACAATGGCAGCATTATTTATAGGCAAAAGCTCCTGATCTGTTG